CCCACCCCCCCCCGAGCTTTTCTGGAACTCAACTAAAAAAATGTGGATTTTATAAAGGACATCTTGAAATGGTAATTGTGCCAATGCAGTATCCTAAAAGGTTCACCCTTTTCTCTTGAATTCCTTATACAATTAAAGGTGGGCTTTCTGTGCCTAGGTGCTCCTGTGCCTACAGGCCCATAGCTGTATATCTGTGAGACACTTTTGCTCTCTCACTGTTAGTCTGGAGTGAAATTTGATGATTTCAGTCCCTTGCTGCTCACTGTTCTCCTTGCTGGAGAGAAAGCTGTACCTGAGGACCTGCAGTTCAGAGAGCTTCCTGTTTCTGTATCTTTTATTCAATGGAACTGTGCTTTCACCACTTCTCCGGCAGCTTCTTGAATATTCCACCACCAGTCATTAGATCACCGGTCATTGGGGGGCAGCCCTGATATGAAGAGCCAAATCCCTGGTGACTAGTCAGTAATGGGGGAAACATCAGGTGCAGGGAGATCACTGGTAATACTGGTGACTAGTCAGTAATGGGGAAAACATCAGGTGCAGGGAGATCACTGGTAATACTGGTGACTAGTCAGTAATGGGGAAAACATCAGGTGCAGGGAGATCACTGGTAATACTGGTGACTAGTCAGTAATGGGGAAAACATCAGGTGCAGGGAGATCACTGGTAATACTGGTGACTAGTCAGTAATGGGGAAAACATCAGGTGCAGGGAGATCACTGGTAATACTGGTGACTAGTCAGTAATGGGGAAAACATCAGGTGCAGGGAGATCACTGGTAATACTGGTGACTAGTCAGTAATGGGGAAAACATCAGGTGCAGGGAGATCACTGGTAATACTGGTGACTAGTCAGTAATGGGGAAAACATCAGGTGCAGGGAGATCACTGGTAATACTGGTGACTAGTCAGTAATGGGGAAAACATCAGGTGCAGGGAGATCACTGGTAATACTGGTGACTAGTCAGTAATGGGGAAAACATCAGGTGCAGGGAGATCACTGGTAATACTGGTGACTAGTCAGTAATGGGGAAAACATCAGGTGCAGGGAGATCACTGGTAATACTGGTGACTAGTCAGTAATGGGGAAAACATCAGGTGCAGGGAGATCACTGGTAATACTGGTGACTAGTCAGTAATGGGGAAAACATCAGGTGCAGGGAGATCACTGGTAATACTGGTGACTAGTCAGTAATGGGGAAAACATCAGGTGCAGGGAGATCACTGGTAATACTGGTGACTAGTCAGTAATGGGGAAAACATCAGGTGCAGGGAGATCACTGGTAATACTGGTGACTAGTCAGTAATGGGGAAAACATCAGGTGCAGGGAGATCACTGGTAATACTGGTGACTAGTCAGTAATGGGGAAAACATCAGGTGCAGGGAGATCACTGGTAATACTGGTGACTAGTCAGTAATGGGGAAAACATCAGGTGCAGGGAGATCACTGGTAATACTGGTGACTAGTCAGTAATGGGGAAAACATCAGGTGCAGGGAGATCACTGGTAATACTGGTGACTAGTCAGTAATGGGGAAAACATCAGGTGCAGGGAGATCACTGGTAATACTGGTGACTAGTCAGTAATGGGGAAAACATCAGGTGCAGGGAGATCACTGGTAATACTGGTGACTAGTCAGTAATGGGGAAAACATCAGGTGCAGGGAGATCACTGGTAATACTGGTGACTAGTCAGTAATGGGGAAAACATCAGGTGCAGGGAGATCACTGGTAATACTGGTGACTAGTCAGTAATGGGGAAAACATCAGGTGCAGGGAGATCACTGGTAATACTGGTGACTAGTCAGTAATGGGGAAAACATCAGGTGCAGGGAGATCACTGGTAATACTGGTGACTAGTCAGTAATGGGGAAAACATCAGGTGCAGGGAGATCACTGGTAATACTGGTGACTAGTCAGTAATGGTGGAAAGATCAGGTGCAGGGAGACCACTGGTAATACTGGTGACTAGTCAGTAATGGGGGAAAGATCAGGTGCAGGGAGATCACTGGTAATACTGGTGACTAGTCAGTAATGGGGAAAGATCAGGTGCAGCGAGATCACTGGTTATACTGGTGACTAGTCAGTAATGAAGGAAAGATCAGGTGCAGGGGGATCACTGGTAATATTGGTGACTAGTCAGTAATGGGGGAAAGATCAGGTGCAGGGGGATCACTAGTAATACTGGTGACTAGTCAGTAATGGGGAAAGATCAGGTGCAGTGAGATCACTGGTTATACTGGTGACTAGTCAGTAATGAAGGAAAGATCAGGTGCAGGGGGATCACTGGTAATACTGGTGACTAGTCAGTAATGAAGGAAAGATCAGGTGCAGGGGGATCACTGGTAATACTGGTGACTAGTCAGTAATGAAGGAAAGATCAGGTGCAGGGGGATCACTGGTAATACTGGTGACTAGTCAGTAATGAAGGAAAGATCAGGTGCAGGGGGATCACTGGTAATACTGGTGACTAGTCAGTAATGAAGGAAAGATCAGGTGCAGGGGGATCACTGGTAATACTGGTGACTAGTCAGTAATGAAGGAAAGATCAGGTGCAGGGGGATCACTGGTAATACTGGTGACTAGTCAGTAATGAAGGAAAGATCAGGTGCAGGGGGATCACTGGTAATACTGGTGACTAGTCAGTAATGAAGGAAAGATCAGGTGCAGGGGGATCACTGGTAATACTGGTGACTAGTCAGTAATGAAGGAAAGATCAGGTGCAGGGGGATCACTGGTAATACTGGTGACTAGTCAGTAATGAAGGAAAGATCAGGTGCAGGGGGATCACTGGTAATACTGGTGACTAGTCAGTAATGAAGGAAAGATCAGGTGCAGGGGGATCACTGGTAATACTGGTGACTAGTCAGTAATGAAGGAAAGATCAGGTGCAGGGGGATCACTGGTAATACTGGTGACTAGTCAGTAATGGGGGAAAGATCAGGTGCAGGGAGATCACTGGTTATACTGGTGACTAGTCAGTAAAGGGGGAAAGATCAGGTGCAGGGGGATCACTAGTAATACTGGTGACTAGTCAGTAATGGGGGAAGGATCAGGTGCAGGGAGATCACTGGTAATACTGGTGACTAGTCCTTTTCCTCTGCTTGCCTTTTTGGGCCACAGCTTCCACAGTACATGTGCTCTTTAAAGACCAAAACCACACAAATCTGCTGCTTCAATGTCATGTGGCTGCTGGCAAGCTGAATTATATCGAATTGGCTTATTATCTAGCAGGACATCTCCACCAAATTTTACAGAGTCACCCATCTTCTACAGTCATGAAAAAGCTAAATGAAGGAGTGACACCTTCCTCATGTCACATTCTTTATGATAAACAAAAATCTTCCAAAAGATATCCTGTTACAGCCTTTTCCCATTACAGAGTATAGATAATTGATGACTTATTATTCACGCATTCTTGAGTGAGAGAGCTTAGTTAAAGCCGAGCTTCAGTCAAAACATTTTATTTTGCATATGAACGGACAGAAAAGAACAGGCTGCAATAAAAACATTGTCAGAAGTTGTAACCCGTCCTCATTTTACCTGCCCTATGTGTGCTTGTTGGAGAACCTTCACCTTACTGTCCCATGAGTGACACAGAAAGTAATAATAACCTGGGATCGAGAAGAAAGAAGGACACCGCACCAGTGATTTCAGAATCCAGAGAATTTAGTGGTGTGCTGGTATGTGTAATCTGCAAATATACCAGCAAGCATGCCTGTATCCACACCATGGGTATGAAGAAATGACTAACTCAGTCACGAAACGCGTTACATTGGGTGTTCAATAAATATTACTTTTAATAAGAAACCTTCGTTCTTCTGGATCAATCATTCCTAAATACTTGGGTGCCCCTGCTACTGTTTTTATATACCCTTCCACATACTACTGACCACTCCCAAGGTCTATCATGAACCACCGCACATGGGCCCCCCTGGAGCATTAAGAGTGGCCTCCAAAGACCTGCATGGAGACAGACGTATTGGTTGTGTACACCATTCCCGTGGTCATCTGCAACCTCACCAGGTGTGAGGTTTTTTTATACGTTTAAATAATTCAGATTAAGCACCCATATATTATATTACTACACTGTTAGGGTTATATTGTATGATTTGTTCATCCACCCAGCATAACAATCACCAACTGTCCAGCCTTGGGCTAGTCTGAAGTTTTTAGGATGGAATTTATGTTTAGAAGAGACCAAGAGGGCCTGAGCGAAAGGAGAAACCCGTTGATATAAAACTGCACCCTAAATAGATCATTGAAAACTGCAATTTGTTTTGTAAATAAGCTTATTGTACATATAACACATAAAACATCAGTTTAAAAAGTATAAAAAAATAAAAATGACCCACACCCATTACAGTTTCACTTTAAGAGCATACCTGAGGTTAGTGCAGTACTGTAGCTGTGGCAGGAAGTTTTGCACAAGACTGTAATTAAGACACTGGGAAAGGTTTGTTTCTTGGGCACAGCTGCGTGATGCCCTAAGTAAGAAAGCAAGGGCACAGCAAGCCAAAGGGCTCAATTTCCTGCTGAGTGTTCCAGTCTTCAGCGCCTCTTCCACCTTGCAGATCACCTCTGTGTAGCCCATCTCATGCAAGCAGCACATTAAGTTCACCATTCCACAGGAGATTGTCTTGCTGGCACTCAGCAAGCTCTGCAGGTAGTCCACTATTTGCCCACGGTGGCTGCTTAGATCTTCCTTGTTTGGCAGGCACCCGACCAAAATCCTAATGACCTGTGAAGCCATGAGGCCAGAGAGGAAGCGGAGGAAGATGGACAGGTGAGCTCCGTCAGTTTGTAAAACCCGCTGTGTTGCACTTTTGTAATGGTTTAGAAAGCCCAACTTGGGCCAAGAAACTCCTCCCTCAGCAAAGAGGTCGAATATGGCACGTTTGGCGGCAGAATAGTAGTGGATGGCTGCCAGGAACTCCTGCAAAAGGACGTGGGGGAAACAGAAAGCTGAACAGGAAGGTGAATTCTGGGGCAGCAGCAGCCGACTACAAAGGCTGCCTGGTAATATTGGGGTCTCAATCCCACAAGATTTTAAATCTGACTCGTAAAAGACCGTCCGTCTTCTAAGCAATCCCTGAAACGCCAACTTTCCTAAGTTGCCAACAGTTCGTCGGGCACTGTTTGGTTGCTCTATTCCCTCTAAGTCAGTGAACTGAGCTTTGAGATACCAGGAGAAGATGGTGGACAATGTCATAGGTAGGGAAGGATATGTAGAGTCATGGGCATGAACTGCAAATCCAAGAGATACTCCTATGATGTGGCACAAGGTGGGAACAGAACACAAAGCATTTAAAGAGCGATGACTTTCTAGGTGCCCACAGATCCTGTCCACTAAGCCATTGGCATCGTGTAGAAACTGATCCATATACTGCTTGATTTCACCTGATTCAAGTCCAGATATTTCCGTCATTCGATCCACAAGCCCCCCAGGAATCATAGCTGCAGCTCCCGGCCTTGATGTTACCCACACAACGATGTCAGGCAGAAGGTTTCCTCGTAAGATGTTGGTAATGAGACATTCAGGGGGAAGTTCTTTCTGAGGATCAGTGCTAGCTATTGAGTCAGAGAAGTCAAGTGGAGCTCGAAGCTCATCTAAGCCATCCAAAATTAGAAGGGAATTGGGAGGTGGCACTGAATACCTGGGCCAAGCAATCCGTATTAACTTCTCCACAGAGAGACGTTCAAAGACGTTTAACTCCCAGAGGTTCAGGGTCAGCAAACAGGGGATGTTAGTGCAGAGCTCACCCCGTGCCCACTTCTCCACAAACAGCCTCACCAGCGTACTTTTACCAGCTCCTGCCACTCCTACAGTTAAGGTGACACGTGGAGGAAGGCTGACCCTCGACAGCGGCATCAACAGTTTTTCTAGGGGCAATTTTTTGGGGGTACCTCTCCCAACCTGGCCTAATTCCAGCTGCACAACGTCATGTTCTTGAAGCTGGGCATCCGTAAGGCCTTCAACCAAGAGGAGAGAGTCTAACTGAGCTAGCAGTGGGTGCTGGTCATATTTCACACTGTCCAAATGTTTCTTCACCAATGGATCTGTTACAAAAAAAAAAAACTGTCACATTAAAGGAACAAAACAAAAAAAATCCCTTGTCATGTTGAGCAACAAAATGTGTACATTGGATTTAATTAATAACAATTTCTTGGTACAGTTTTTGTACAAGTTATGATTTCTGACAGTCTCCTCTCCTCCATAATCTTAACTTTATAGATCCTAATCATTAAGGTCACACCCACAACAATGTCATACCATAAAGCAAGTATGTCACATACTTCACATAAAACGTGCCGTCCTATCAAAGGTTTGTGTTGGCCCCCTTATTTAGCTTCACTTATGGTGTCTGAGTCTGATGCTATAGCTTAGCGTTAGAGGTCTCCAGAAGTCTGAGAGTTGCTGCTCTACTAACTGCCAGTCCCAACATACCGTCTCTTAAAGTAGTATTTCACTCTTACACTTTTTTCAATAATGTATCCAGGTCAAACAAATATACATTGTCCAGCAAAGTATTTCTTAAAATATTTGACCAAGAACTTATAGTCATCATGCTTCTGAACTGCTCCAACTCTTTCAGCTCGACTTCCCTGAACTTCTTGTCCATTACAAGATCACAAGGGATAGAGCAGTATCCAGCTGACCATCTACTAACTTAGAGAAGGGAGGAAAGGATGAGTGGGGAGCGGAGAACAGACGAGTGGCTTGTGGCCAGTGGCCGCTGTCAGAAAGCAATGAAAACAGTGGGGGATTGCTCCATCCATGTTATATTTTCTTAGTTCAGCTGGCAGGTTGAACAAAGAAAATATATACATGTATACCCGGCTTAAGCAATGCCAAAAAAATAAGCCAATATGAAGATTTCAGAAGCATAATTGCACAATTATAATAATTTAAGTCTAAATATTCGTTTTTTACTACTTTTCTACTTCTACTTTACTACTTGACAATCTGTGACGGGGTCTCTTTAAATTGGACAAATAATCTAACATGTATATTAATATACACCGTCAATGCTGTAAGTACCAGTTAATCAAAATCCATGGAACCTTACATTCTTCTTCAGCAATCTATTGCAATCCTGGACTGGTCAAGTGATCCCTGCTAAATGGAAGAATCTTAGGGGGATGTACACTATATCACCAAAAGTATTGGGCCACCCCTCCAAATCATTGAATTCAGGTGTTCCGTGAACTTTCCTTGCTACTAAATATTCCACGGTCACCTGTTAGTGGTATTATAACAATAATAAATATAGAAATGTTCCGTTAGACTTACCGGTAACGGTATTTCTAGGAATCTTCCAGGACAGCAACCTGAGAGATGATTGGTTCCACCTTCTACAGGAAACACAATTAGCATAACAGTTAAAAGCCCCTCCCCTTCCCCTCGTACCTCAGTTGTGATAAAAGTAGACTACCACCCCAGTAAACGAGTGATAGGCAATTCCCTTCTTAACCAGGGGAGGGGGGCCTCAGCTCCAATCGCTCACAGATGTCCTCTAATGGTGTAATCAGACCAGCAAACAGATCTGTGCAACACTTCTTAAATAGCAAAGCAATAGCCTCCAATCTTTATCGATCTATAGGCCTCCTCGGTATAAGGTGTCAATGCCAGGATCGTGTTGACCAAAAAAAGAAAGCAAACACCATAGTGCGTACCATCCAAACCATCACTATTGCTATATTTGGACATTTTTGCAGATTTATGAAGATTTAAAGACTTTACACCCGATTGATTTTTTCCACTGACATTTGTTTGAGTCACGGTATTATAACAAAGTGGAAGCAACTGTGAACAACAGCCATGTAAAATGACAGAGCGGGGTCAGCGCATGCTGTAGCGCACAGTGCGCAGAAGTCGCCAACTGTCTGCAGAGTCAATAGCTACAGACCTCCAAACTTCGTGTGGCCTTCAGACTGGAGAAACAACAGTGGGTAGAGAGCTTCATGGAATGGGCTTTCCATGGCCGACCAGCTGCATCCAAGCCTTACATCACCAAGTGCACTGCAAAGCGTGGGATGCCGTGGTGTAAAGCACACCGCCACTGGGCTCTAGAGAAGTGGAGACGTGTTCTCTGGAGTGACGAATCACGCTTCTCTGTCTGGCAATCTGATGGACGTGTCTGGGTTTGGCGGTTGCCGGGAGAACGGTACTTGCCTGACTGCATTGTGCCAAGTGTAAAGTTTGGTGGAGGGGGGATTATGGGGGTGGGTTGTTTTCCAGGGGTTGGGCTTGGCCCCTTAGTTCCAGTGTTAACTCCCATAGACACACTCCTAAATCTTGTGGACGCCTTCCCAGAAGAGTTGAAGCTGTTATAGCGGCAAAGGGCGGAGCCAACTCAATATTGAACCCTACGGACTAAGACTGGGATGCTATTAAAGTTCATGTGCGTGTAAAGGCCGGCGTCCCAATACTTTTGGTAATATAGTGTATGTCAGGAAATGGTTGAGGTAGAGGCTCTGATTGGTAAAGCTCTGTCTGAACCGTCTCTTTACATTATTCTGCAAGACCATGTGGCACAGTCTGGGTATCAGAATAATACCACCCTTCCTTGGTTAACCTTGTTTACAAAATATCAGAAAGATGTCCCCTTATGTCCAGTTCTGGTGGCCACATAAAAATGAGTGGAAATTCCCCCAACTGGGGAACACTGTCAGGGTTATTCACAAAAGGGTGAAGAGTTTGGAAAGGGCAGGAGAGGAGAACAATCTAGGACAACATAGCTGAACTGGAGAATTTTTCCAAATCTGCTATGTTGTCCTAGATTGGTCACTTCTCCTGCCTTCTTCAAGCCCTTCACCCTTTTGTGAATAACCCTGTGTGTTTCAGGAATGACCCAGGCAGAAATCAAAGTTTTGGTTGTAGTTCCAAACTTGCCAATCACATTCCTATGACAGACAAAGCTGGTGACCCACCATAATGACGTATGCGCAGGTAGATGGAGGAGCGGCTGTGTTCAATGCAGGTCTGCAGCCCTTGAAGATACCAGCGACCCTTTCCTCCTAGTGTGTCCATCAGGGTTTCAGCCCGCTTGTTCAATGGTGTCAGTTCCTGAAGACGTCGGATCTCTTCGGCGTTGAGCATCTCCATCTCCTGCAGCTTAGCCATAATCTTCTGTAGGGATTCCGGACTGGCGCTGGACGCCATCTGCCTCCTGTACCGGAGGATCCATAGGCCTGATATAGGGGAGAGGAGACAATTACTAGAGGTGAAGAGGGATATACACTATGGGCCAAATAATGTCAAGCCAAATCAATAACATCTCTAAAGCTGATCACAAACCCGCCATTTTTTAATTCCAACTCAGAAAAAGGCATCTATCACTAGACAGCCCATCTACATACCTTCCATGTCATTGTTTCAAAACACCATGAGACTTCAGGTTGTTCAAGGTCCATGTCATCTCCAGGATAAGGAAAGGAGTGGACGGACCCCTCCTGACATCATCTGGGTAGAGCAGAATCTAGTTCAGAATAAGATACATTTTACATACAACGATCCTATCTTCAGAAATCTTTGGTGGTGTGATGATCATGGTGTCATTTGCCTTCTGTGACTGTCAAATAATCTACCATGTGAAGAAAACTTGATGCAAACTGGGCACTTTTATTTGGGCATATGATGAAATACACATTCATAAAATCTTGTACATTAAAGCAACTCATCAGATCCAGAGATATAAGCCATGCTGGTGAAGGTATATGGAAGTCTTTAGCAAAAAATGTTGAGACTAGACCACCTACCTAGTGGGTTCATTGATCAATAGGAACATGCTGAGGAGAGAGCAGAGTGATGAAGAATGAGCTCATCAGTCTGCTGCTTCTCCTCTCCTGTCCAGTCACAAGCTGGGGGAGGGACAAGACTTATAAGTGTTGCTTAAAGCAGTACTGCGAGTCAATTTTTTCTCAACTCTTGCAGTGGGGCTACCACCACACTACACTGCAAGGGTTAAGTGCTCAATTTTGTCTAGGTGCTAATATAAAAACACATACTCCTCGATCGTTGGAGCCGGAGACTTGCTCCAGCCTTGCTACCTCTCCGCTGCAGTGGTCTAAGGTCCCCGAGTCATCACGTTCTATATATAGAATGTAAGGATGCAGAGGGACATGATACTTACAAAACTGCATTCACTGATTTGTTTTTAATTATCTACCTGAAGTTCAATGAGAGAAGTTTAGGATTGTTTTGTACCTTGTCTTCCTAAGGACCTTCCACAGAAATCTCAGGACAAATAGAGCTGCCAGTCAACTCCAATGTAAAAGGGGGGGAATATACCAAAACTGGAACAGACAGGGGGGGAATATACCAAAACTGGAACAGACAGAATCTGAAACAACTCTGCATGACACCCAAGCAGCTTCCAGCTTTCATTTTCAAAGCTTAACTGAACAAGCTGAAGATAGAAGATAATTGGTCACTTTGCACAGCTGCCCTAGATTCTGTCTGCTCCAGTTTTGGTAAATTACTCCTGTAGTCTTTTAAACACACGTCGAGCCTGCGCTCCTCATCACCTGAAGAAGTATTAAACTTATTATTACTGTCTGTGTCACCGTCTCTGACCACTGTCACCAAGACAGGAAGTGACAGGAAATCTGAAATGTTACAGTTGTTACAAGAGCAGGAATACAGAGGAAATATTGCGATGGGGGATTCCTTCTCACTTCCTGTTGTATCTCCTGGACATGGAGTAAAGAAATGTCCCCCAACAGGACAGAAACAGCAACAAAACAAGAACAAAGACAACTGACGGGACTAAGCCATTCAATACTCCATCAAGAAAAAAAATAATCACACAATAAAGTATGTAATGATTCATGACACCAAGACGTGTGATAAGATCAGTTTTCTAAGTAACATTATCTGAAGATGTAATAAAGGGGCTAATGAAAAGAAAAGATAAAAGGTTTTGGTTGTAGATATGTTTCACCGGCATACAGACAATACACTATATTTGTAGTGGCAGAACAGAGCGGACCTTTACCCCCTTTCACTATTAATCACATCAGCATGCAGCTCTGCATGCTGATATGAAATCATTTTACATTCATTAGTTAAACATATTTTACCTTTACTTACAATTATTGTTTTTACACTTCCTGGTCCTCTTGGGCATTAGTGATGCAATGTGCCCAAGGGTTACATCCTGGAAAGGTTACATCGGCAGAGCATTGCTGGGAAATCTCATCTGTCATCTCAGGAGATCTCATGGAAAGGCATTTTTTACCCCTGAGATGATGTGCATGGTTATATATCCTAGTCACATGTGCCAGAGTTCCAGGAAGTAAAGGGAGATGGCTTCATCTGCCCTTAGTAAAAGTGGCCACTGTGAGAAGAATGGGGAGGAAAAGAAGCCTGCAATTATCTAGAAGTGTGTGTGTAAATCAGGGGTAGCCAGCTGTGGGGAAACGACAAATACTATCATGCATCTGCCTCAGTAGGACATGCCTGTGGCTGTTGGAGACTTGCAATGCCTAATGGGACCTGTAGTTTCATTACAGCTGGAGGGCCGCAGTTTGGCTACCCCTGGTGTAGATTGTCATTACTAAACATTTCTAAAGGTGGGTTATTTGTCATCTCAAAGATCTGGGTGAAGTTCTGCTTGAATTGGTTGTATTTACCAATACTTAGATTTGTTACACACAATACATATTTGTTTTCAAAAACATTGTGACTTTTAATTAAACTTCTTCTCTAAATGATTGAGATAATGAAAGCAAAGGCGTCCCAAGGCGGGGTGTCACCCGGACCAGCCACCG